GGGTTCAAGCAATTCTCCTGCTTCAGCCTCCTGAGTAGCTGGGACTACAGGCAAGCGCCACGACGCCCGGCTAATTTTTGTACTTTTAGTAGCGATGGGGTTTCGCCATGTTGGCCAGGGTGGTCTCGATCTCTTGACCTCGTGATCCGCCTGCCTCGGCCTCCCAAAGTGCTGGGATTACAGGTGTCAGCCACCGCGCTCGGCCCATTTCCTTCTTCTTTAAGGCTGACTCTTCTTTCATTGCATGTATATATCACACTTTATTCATCTGTTGGTGGACACATGAGTTGTTTCCATATTTTGGCTACTGTGTAATGCTGCGGTGAGCATTTGCGGTGGGAGGGCAGATATCTTTCCAAGGTGGTGATTTTATTTTCTTAGGGTGTGTATCCAGCAGAGGGATTGCTGAATCGTCTGGTAGTACTACTTTTAACTTCCTTAGAAATATCAATAGGATTTTCCATAGTGGCTTCATACTGACAGTGGGTTTCCTTTCTCTACATTCTCGCCAAAGCTTATCTTGTCTTTGTGATAGACATGTGTGAGGTGATATACCTCACTGTGGTTTTGATTTTCATTTTCCTGATGATCAGTGAGGTTGAGCACATTTTCATATACCTCTTGGCCATTTGTATGGCTTCTTTGGAGAAATGACTATTCAGGTCTATAAACACATTGTTAAACACATTGTTAAAGCATCCATTTGTTTTCATCATCACCAAAAGGGATAGCATTTTTGTTTTCTTTTGAGACAGTGTTTCACTCTGTCACTGAGACTGGAATGCAATGGCAAAATCATGGCTCATTACAGTCTCAAACTTCTGGGCTCCAGTGATCCTTCCACCTCAGCCTTCTGAGTAGCTGAGAGTACAGGTGTGTGCTGCTGTGTCTGACTGATTTTTTTATTATCTGTAGAGACAGGGTCTGCCTCTGTTGCCCAGGCTGGTCATGAACTCCTGGGCTCTAGCTAGAGATCCTCCCACCTCAGCCGCCCAAAGCTCTGCAGTTACAGGTGTGAGCCACTGTGCCTGGCCAGGGATAGCGAGTTTTTAAACCTTTTTCAGTCTGGTGAACGATAAATTATATCTTGTCTTAATTTGCACGTTGTTCATTATTAATCAATTTCAGCAGCTTTCATTTACTATCTTTTTATATTTTATTAAATTTTTAATGTAATTTGCAATTTTTCTACAGGCTGTTAGCCATGTGTCATCATACTACAGATGTTTTTACATTGTTTCTAATTTGGTTTTACGATCAAGTTTTTTGGCAAACAAAATATTAATTCGTATGTAGTCAATTTACCAATTATTTTCACTTAAGGTGTTTGTTTTCTGTCAGGCTTCAATGGCCTTCATCACTTGTTCATATTTCTGCAAATATTTATAAAAATTGAAAGTTCAGAGGCTTTCAGTGTTTCATCTAACTTTAAATTGATTTTTTTCTTTTCTTTTTTTTTTTTTTTTTTTTTTTTTACGGAGTCTCGCTCCATCATCCAGGCTGGAGTTCAGTGGCGTGATCTCAGCTCACTGCAACCTCTGCCTCCCGGGTTCAAGCAATTCTTCTGTCTCAGCCTCCTGAGTAGCTGGGACTACAGGTGTGCACCACCATGCTTGGCTAATTTTTGTACTTGTAGTAGAGATGGGGTTTCACCTTGTTGGTCAGGCTGGTCTCAAACTCCTGACCTCAGGTGATCCACCCACCTTGGCCTCCCAAAGTGCTGCGATTACAGGCTTGAACCACCGCGCCCAGCAAATTGAGTTTTTCATAATTTATTTATACACAAGGCCTGAAGTAAGGATCTAGCTTTAAAAAGCAACAAAACAATGCCTAGCTGGCTGCTCCGAGGCCATCAGTCATCCTTGTCTGTCTCCCCTCAAATGATTAAACATGTTCCTGTTATATAATAAGCCAAATGCCCATAGATGTTTGGATCTATTTTGTGACTCACTGCTTTACTGATCTCTTTATTCTAGCACCAACACTACACTGCTAATGACTGCAACTTTAATTTCTCCTAGGTAAATAACCCCTCCGACTCCCTGTACCTCCACATGTTTTCAGAAGTTGCCTAATTTTTTATATGTTAATTCTTTTCAAATTAACTTTACTACATAAGGAATCCAGTTTATTTAAGAAGTTTGTTGTAGTTTGTCTTTTGACATTTCTGTATCTCTTACTATTATTATTTTTTGGAGACGGATCCCGCTAGGTTGGAGTACAATTACAGGGACTCTTCTCGGGTACAATTATAGAACACCGCAGCCTCTGACTCCTGGCCTTAAGTGGTCCTTCTGCCTTAACCTCCCAAGTGTCTGGGACTGCAGGTGCGTGCTACTCTGCCCAGCCAAGTTAACTTTCGAATTCGTGTTTTTTCAAAATCCTGTTGGCATTTTAATTTCTATTAGAATTACAGATTGTTTTGGTGAAGATTATATTTTTATAAGATTGTATTTTCCTAAGAACTGAAATAGATTTTTTGTGTATTTAGTAGTTATAATTTTCTTATACATTTCTTGTTAAGTTTAATCCTAAGTATTCTGTTTTTGTTCCTATTAGCTCTGTCCTATAAATTTAACATGTTGTGTTTTCATTCCATTCCATGTATTTTTAATTTTTCTTGAGACTTCTTTAGCGCGTGGATTACACAGAAGTGTTTGGAGATTTTGCTGTTACCTGTTCTTAGCTTGACATCCTTTTAGGACTAGAACACACTCTCTGATTTCAATTCTTTTAAATCTGTTGAGATTCATTTTAGGGCCCTGGATATGGCTTATCTTGGTGAACGTTAAGTGGGCACCTGAACAGAAGATATATTCTGCTGTTATAGGGTGTACTGTCCTACAAGTGTCAGTTAGATCCCATTGTTTGATGGTGTCATAAAGTTCTCTGCTGATTTGCTATCTAATAGTTCTCTCAATTGTTGAGGTAGGAGTATTAAAGTCTCCAACTATTCATGGATGTCTGTTTTTCCTTTTATTTCTAACAGTTTCGCTGAATGTATTTTGAAGCTCTTTTGTTTGATGTATAACCTTTAGTATAGCCACGTCTTCTTGGTGGATTGAGCCTTGTGTCATTATATAATGTCTCTCTATCCCTAGTCTGGGTTGCTTTTTAGAAGAAGAGATTAACAACAGATCTCTTTACTTTTGATCTAGTAAATCTGGAGTGGTCTCTGAAAATCTGCATTTTAACAAATTTCCAAGATTATTTTTATAATCAGGTATTACTCAGAGTTCTTGCTTACAAACAATAGAAACTGACTTTAGAAAACTTAAGTAGAATTTATCGAAAAAATATCTGGTAACATCTAGTGGATTGTGGAGTCTTGTTACGAAGCTTCAGGGAAGCCAGAACGCCTAGGCAGTTACTCTCCCTGACCGTGACTGCTGGAGCACAGGTAGGTGACCCAAACTCAACTCATCTGGGTCTCACACTACCCAGGACTTTAAATGTGGTATAAGGATATAAAGTGGGGATAGTTTAGGATTCGTTCTGGTGGTGGTGAGAATTTTGGTGTCCAGTAATAGAAGTAGCAATAATGACAGAATCTAGACACGTGCCTAATTATGGCATGATCTGATCTTAACTCAGACTGCCTGGCCTTTTGGTTTCTATCCCTTTTCTGAGCTTGCTTCCGAGACTTCCAGCAGTAAACACGCGTACGCGCGCGCGCGCACACACACACACACACACACACGTTATACAAACTCCTGTTTGGGGAAAATTGTAATTTTGGGAGAAAAATCAGCATAGTACCTATAACTTGCTAGGGCAATTGCAAAATAATTAGTGAGATCGATGTTGTGGGTTCTGTTTGCACAGTGAGTGGAATTATTTAGTGTTTTGGAAGGCAGCAGCCCTGAAACACAGGAGGTATACTCCCAAATTGTGTATCATAAGGGAACCTAAGTGGTGGTGGTACCACCAGGCTGTGTGTCAGGATCTGTATGTGACGTTGGACAAGTAGTTACTGAGACTAGTCACTTAGTCTAGGCTCATCTGTAAAGGGAAGAAATTGTATTCAGCCAGATAGTTTCTAGGCCATTCTGAATTATAATATGTTATTCTATGATTCTAGAGAGCTTTGCTGTTGGTTAACCACTTCATACTTTACTGTTGTTGTGAGATTCATGGAGAACTACCAAGAACACAGACCAAGAGAAACTGAAGTATGAGATGGAGTATCTGAATTAGCCAGTATCTGCATGAAAAGATCCAGGCCAAAGTGTGTGTTCAGATGGACAGAAACCCAGTTACTGTGGAAAAATTGACACCAAAGAGTTCTGGTGTCACACAAGGCTTGTCACACAACTCCATAACCAGAGACAAGACACATTAGCAATCCTTTCAGAGACCCTGAGATAACATCTCTTCCAAAAAAAAAAAAACTTTTGCCTGTTTCGTGCTGTCAGAACTGAAGGGATAATGGATATTTGGCAGAGAGAGGATATAGCATGAAGTGAGAGTTAGAAGTTAAGCAAGTTGAATTGGTATGAGAAAGGGGGTGGGAAAACGGGCAGATCCCCCATCTTCTCCAGATATCAAAACTTGGCTCTGGAGATGACTGACAGGTGGGTGCCAAGAGGGGTCTTACCTGGCCAACGCGTGTTAATGCCGGTCCCTGCTCTTGGCCTAATCATACAAAATGACTACACCAGAGTGGCTCAGATAAATCAATTTGTCAGGAAGGGTACAACCTGCAGAATGGCTGTAAAGGACCATGTTAGTGAAGTGACTCCGTATTTTCCCTTTCACATAAAGAACAGTTTAGAGGTGACTGGAGCATAATAAAGTGAGTAATTCTCTTGTGACTTGCAGGTTCTTATGAGTGCTTCAATACTGGGGGCCCTGTGTCTCTTCTCGTCGGTCTGTGTTGTATGTGCCATTTCTGCATTTACTCTCCCCATTGAAACCAAAGGACGGGCCCTCCAGGTGAGTGATGCAGGGAGCTCTGAAGTCTTTTCGACTACCACTGTTGCCCAGAGGAAATGAACTTGGTATATGGTCATCACTGTAGTTAAGATAACTGGTAATTCATATCAAGTTTCTTTCTGTAAAGTTGCGGTTTGAATAACAAGAACTTTTTTTTTTTTTTCCTAGTGACAGTTGTAGAGGCCTCGGGATTCTACCCTTCCCGCTTTTCTTTTTCTTTTTCTTTTTTTTTTCAGACAGAGTCTCACTCTGTCTCCCAGGCTGGAGTGCAGTGGCACGATCTTGGCTCACTGCAACATCCACCTCCTAGCGATTCTCCTGCCTCAGCCTCCCTTATAGCTGAGACTACACGCACGTGCCACTACGCCCGGCTAATTTTTTGTATTTTTAGTAGAGACGGGGTTTCACCATGTTAGCCAGGATAGTCTCGATCTCCTGACCTCGTGATCCACCTGCCTCAGCCTCCCAAAGTGTTGGGATTACAGGCGTGAGCCACCGCGCCCAGCTGCCCTTCCCACTTTTTTATCTGAATATAAGCCTTACTGCAGAGCTGAAAATGACTGGCAGAGCTGCAACAGCTATTTGTGTTGTCCTTGGGGTCACATGGTCTTCATGTGTTGGTCCAGCTTCATTTACCTCTGGTCCCTCTGGGAAGAATTGAGTCAAAAGCTCCAATGTTGTGCCAGTCGCTTTCCAATACTAACAGCAGGACTGACTGCTCACTCTATTTTGCAAAGTACATTAAAAATATATATATATACACACACACACACACACACACACACACACACCCCCCACACACACACACACACAGACACACACGCGCACCACACCCCTACCTCAAAAGTATAAGGCATCCTTCCAGGCTCAAAGTTGAAGAGAGGGCCTCTCCTACCCCTGCCCTTATGGTTGGATTCAGTGAAGGATGGTCACCTCCAAGTACAGGTGGTGGGTCTGATGTCTTCCTGTCTTCAACACAAAGCTTGTAGCTGGTTTACAAGGGCGTGTGTGTGTGCTTATGGGGAAGGGGGAGAATGGTTGGGTTAGGCCACTGGTCACATAGTTTAGTTGACCCTGAGATGCCACCTCTCCCTGAGGCTGTAGAGTCATGGTGCTTCTGTGGCTGAGTGTGACTTGCCCTCTCTGCTACGTCCTACTCACTGTAAACCTTGTATGCGTTCATATTTGTTTTGATACTGATATGTTTTGTTTCTGTGAGTAGATACAAGGAAGGCACTATTGAGTATTAAAAAGGCAGCCGGGTGCGGTGGCTTACGGCTGTAATCCCAGCATTTTGGGAGGCTGAGGTGGGCAGATCATCTGAAGTCAGGAGTTCGAGACCAGCCTGGCCAATATGCTGAAACCCCATCTCTACTAAAAACACAAAAATTAGCCATGCCTGTAGTCCCAGCTACCGGGAGGCTGAGGCAGGAGAATCTCTTGAACCTGGGAGGCGGAGGGGTTGCAGTGAGCTGAGTTCATGCCACTGCACTCCAGCCTGGGCGACAGAATGAGACTCTGTCTCAAAAAAAAAAGCTTAGTTTGTCTTTTTTTTTTTTTTTCTTTTTTTTTTTGAGATAGAGTCTTACTCTGTCGCCCAGGCTGGAGAGCAGTGGTGTGACCTTAGCTCACTACAACCTCCGCCTCCCGAGTTGAAGTGATTCTCCTGCCTCAGCCTCCCAAGTAGCTGGGATTACAGGCACCCACCACCACACCTGGCTAATTTTTGTATTTTTAGTAGAGATGGGGTTTCACTATGTTGGCCAGGCTAGTCTCGAACTCCTGACCTCAAGAGATCCACCTGCCTTGGCTTCCTAAAGTGCTGGGATTATAGGTGTGAGCCACCGCACCCGGCCTAGTTTGCGTATCTTTAAGGCTAGTTTATTTTTAATGTAATATTGCATTTTAATCAGATTAGGTGATCTATTATGTAATTGTGAATTTAGGGCTTTGTTTAGGTTCCTTACTTGGAAAGGTGATCCAGTCACTGAGTGCTTAAAGCCAGAGATTTAGATGATCGATATGCTTGCTTCCTTTTAATTATAAGCAAAAGGATGATCAGATCCTTTATACAAATGAGGAAACTAAGACACAAGTTGAGCAACTTGTATAAAGGAGCACACTAATATTGTAGTGAGGCTAAAATTTAAACCAGACTGTAACACTAAGGAAATAGGAATTTAGTGTTACTTAATTTTGCAAATAATGATACATGTAAGTGGAAACCTGACTCAGCATCTAGAATCTCCTATTCAAGTCATATCTACCTAGAAGACTTTTCCTCTTCTGTTGACTGGGACTTGGTTTTAGCACTATGTGGAAATGATTCTGCATGATTGTTTATAACCTTTTAAACAAACAAGTAGGTTCAATACATACAATTGTCTAGGCATGTATCCCTTGATGACTGCCACTAACTGGCTACATGTCTTTGGGAAAAATCTTAAAATACACAGCCACACCCACTCCCCCTACTTCAGTGTTGTGAGTGGTTACCATATGAAACCACCTAACTGACACCAGTACAGCTTCTAGAAATGTTTATAAGAACATGTCAAAAATCTTAACTTCCTTCCAACAACACACACAGACAACATCCTAATAATTTGGATGAACCAACCTGGTCAATAATTTTAAAGTGGTGTTGATTCTGTGTTACAACTACTCTAAGAAACTCTGATTTGAGGAGTCTGGTAAACTAAAAATCTAAAACGCTATCTAGAAAGAGAATAGTGGTCAGGTGCAGTGGCTCACAACTGTAATCCCAGCACTTTGGGAGGCTGAGGCAGGTGGATCACCTGAGGTCAGGAGTTTGAGACCAGCCTGGCCAACATGGTGAAACCCTGTCTCTAAAAAAAAAAAAAATTATATATGTATACACACACATGCGTGTATATATATGTATGCATATATGTATACATATAAATGTATATATAATGTATATAAAATATGAATTTCTCTAAATGACGTCTGCATTATATTAGAATAAAAAAGTTAGCATTATATCTTTAGATACACTAGGGTAAATGCTAGGATCTTCCCTCCTAATAATTTTTTATTAAATAATCTTCTATTACTAAACTATCAGCTGAGTATGAATGGACAAGACTTTTTAAAAGTCTGTTACTGATCTATTAAATAACTTTCTTCCAGCAAATTAAATGAAGACCTGCAAAGCTGTCTACCAGATGAGAAAAATGAATTCTATCTTCAGAACTGCGGCGCATTTTTTAAAACTTGGTTTTACTTCTGTATGCTACTCGGTAATTAGTAAAGTGATTTTTTTTTTTAAAGGCATATATGGGAATGGGGTAGGTAACTCTATATTGATCTCTTCCTTGAGGGACAATATATAAAGTACTTTTATAAAATATAACTTAAGCTTTCAAAGGGGTGTGAAAGGGAGATGGTGGGGGAAAGATGGCTTTTATTCCTTGAAATCAAGTCTGTAAACCTTTATATGAATAAATACTAAATTTTAAACTTATATTTGATATTCTCCCATGAGGTTTGTAGCTAAACTTGAACTGAAATTTTGTAGCTAAGGCAAGAACCTGGGATGATATCATTTTCAAAACAACTAGAATAGCCATCAAGTTCAAATTCAAATTCGCCTGTGTAACTTATAGCCTCCATAGTTTGATGAAAATTGCTTATTCATAAAATGCTTAAATTAGAATGAGTATTACACATAATCACCAAGAAGCAGGGAATAAACCAATTTTACCCCTTACATTCCCTGTCTCTAATTTTATTTTTTTATAGGGGGAGTCTTTGATTCTCTTGATAAAGATTAAAGAACGCAGCAAGCTTTTTGCCATCATGTAATTACAGGCCTGTCCTATTTTATTGTGCTTCCATATATTGCACTGTTACCAACAGCATGTACTCACTGTGTCTCTGTCCTGTTTTGGTCATCTGTTGTGGTGATTGGTGATCTTTGACGTTACTATTGTAATTGTTTTGAGAGTTCCACTAACCACACTCATGTAAGAAGGCAAACTTAATTGATACATGTGTGTTCTTACTGCTCTGCCTACTGGATGTTCCCCCTTCTCTCTCCTTTTCCTTAGGCCTTCCTATCCCCTGAGACTCAGTACTATTGAAATTAGGCCAAATAACCCTACAATAGCCTGTAAATGTTCAAGTGAAAGGAAGACTCACACATTTATGATTTTAAATCAAAAGCTACAAATGATGAAGCTTAGTGAGGAAGGTATGTTGAAAGCTACAGGCTCAAAGCTAGGCCTCTTCTGCCAAACAGCTAGGTTGTGCATGCACAAAGTTCTTGAAGGGTCTGGTTTAGTAAAATGCACGAATGATAAGAAAGCACAACAGCCTTATTGCTAACGTGGAGAAAGTTTGGTCTGGATAGATGAAACTATTCACAACAATCCCTTAAGTCAAAACCTAACATAGAGCAAGACCCTACCTCTCTGTGAAGGCAAGTGCAAGGTGAAGCAGCAAGTGCTAATGGAGACACTATAGCAAGTTATTTAGATCTAGCTAAAATCACTGATGGTAGTTACACTAAACAGATTTTTGTGTCGATAAAATAGCCTTCTATTGGAAGAAGATGCCAACTAGGACTTTATAGTTACACGTTAATGCTTGGCTTCAAAGAATAGACTGACTGTCTTATTAGGGACTAATGCAGCTGGTGCAGCCAATGCTCATTGACCTCAAAATTCAAGGGCCCTTAAGAATTACGCTAAATCTACTCTGCCTGTACTTTATACATAGAACAATGCTTAGATGATGGAATTATCTGTTTACGGCATGGTGAATTTTTAAGCCCATTTTTTGAGACCTATCGTTCAAAAAAAGGACTTCATCTAAAACATTACTGCTCACTGACATTGCACCTAGTCACCTAAGATCTCAATAATTTAAAGTCTGTTAACAAAACACACAGTCTGTAGACCATAGATCAAGAAGTAAAATTTGACTTTCAAGTCTTATTATTTAAGAAATATATTTCATAAAGCTATAGCTGCCACAGATAGTGATTCCACTGATGAATCTGGGCAAAGTAAACAGAAAACCTTCCGGAAACAATTCACCATTCTAGATGCCATTAAGAACATCTGTGATTCACGGGAAGAGTCAGAATAACTCAGGAGTGAGAAAGACATTGATTTGAACCTTCACAAATGACTTTTAGGGGTTCAAGATTTCAGTGAAGAAAGGTACTGTAGATGTGACAGAAATACCAAGAGAACTAGAAGTGGAGACTGAAGATGTGACTGAATTGCTGTAATCTCAAACTTGAACAGATGAGGACTTGCTTCTTGTGGATGAGCAAAGAAAGTGGTTTCTTGAGGTAGAGTCTACTCCTGGTGAAGATGCTGTGACCATTGTTGAAATGACAACAAAGGATTTAGAATATTATATGAACTTAGTTGATAAAGCAGTGGCAGAGTTTGAGAAGATTGACTCTAATTCTGAAAGATGTTCTACTGTGGGTCAAATACTATCAAACAGCATCATGTGCTACAGAGAAATCTTTCATAAAAGGAAGAGTCCATTGATGCAGCAAACTTCATTAAGAAATTGCCACAGCCACCCCAGCCCTCAGCAACTGCTACTCTGAACCGTCAGCAGCCATCCATATTGAGGCTAGACTCTCCATCAGCAAAAGATTGACGTGCTGAAGGCTTAGATGATTGCACTTCTCCGTAATGAATTATTTCAAAATTAAGATATGTGAGAAGCTATTTGGCGAAAGAAAATTAAGGTATGTAGATTTTTTAGATATAATGCTATTGCACACTTAATAGACTACAGTATAAACATAACTTTTATAAGCACTGGGAAACCAAACTATTTGTGACCATTTTTATTGTGATATTTGCTTTATTGCAGTGGTCTGGAACTGAAACCGCAATCTCTGTTGTATGCCTCTACTTACATGCTATTTGTTTTGAAACCATTCCATGCATGCAAGACATCACACCTGTGCACACTAAACTCTTAAGGTTATGTATGCTGTAGAAAGCAACTAAGGTTTATGCGTTTATGCATTTATGTTTTTTCTCTTAATTGCTGTTCAGCCTTCTAGAGTCTCTTTAAAGCAGTCTATAATGGCTTGTAAGTTGTATTCCTAGGTATTTTATTCTCTTTGTAGCAATTGTGAATGGGAGTTTACTCATGATTTGGTGCTGTTTGTCGTTATTGGTGTATAGGAATGCTTGTAATTTTTGTAGATTGATTTTGTATCCTTAGACTTTGCTGAAGTTGCTTATCAGCTTAAGGAGATTTGGGGTTGAGACGATGAGGTTTTCTAAATACACAATCATGACAATCTGCAGAGACAACTTGACTTACTCTTTTCCTAATTGAATACCCTTTCTTTCTTTCTCTTGCCTGGTTGCCCTGGCCAGAACTTCCAATACTATGTTGAATAGGAGTGGTGAGAGGGCATCCTTTTCTTGGGTATTTTCAAAGGGAATGCTTCCAGTTTCTGCCCATTCAGTATATTGGCTGTGGGTTTGTCATAAATAGCTTTTATTTTGAAATGTTTCATCAGTACCTAGAGTTTTTATCATAAAGGGCTGGTGAATTTTGTTGAAGGCCTTTTCTGCATCTATTGAGATAATCATGTGGTTTTTGTCTTTGGTTCTGTTTATATGCTGGATTACGTTTATTGATTTGCGTATGTTGAACCAGTCTTGCATCCCAGGGATGACGCTGACTTGATGGTGGTGGGTAAGCTTTTTGATGTACTGTTGGATTCGGTTTGCCAGTATTTTACTGAGGATTTTCATACTTCTGTTCATTAGGAATATTGGCCTGAAATTTTGCAAAAACTTTTATAATATGAATGCCAAAATATTTATTTTGAACTGTTTGTACCTTGGGTTTTCTTAACATACAACCTCATTAGTAAATCCCTAAAAGGACCAGTCAGATAAACCAGCATCACCATCAAAGTCTGGTACTTGGTGGCCTAGTTTGTTTTTGCTTCTTGTTAAGAACACCCTGGGCTGAATGCGATGGCTCATGCCTGTAATCCCAGCACTTTGGGAGGCTGAGGCAGGAGGATCGCCAGAACCCAGGAGATGGAGGCTGCAATGAGCCATGATGGTCCCACTGCACTCCTGCCTGGATGACAGAGGGAGACCCTGCCTAAAAAAAAAATAATAATAGAGAACACCCTGATTTTTCCTTGGAGAAATGCCACTTCTTAGGTCAGTACATTTTCATTTAAAAGGTGAGGAGGGCTTAACTCTGGTTGATCTGTATATTCTATCCTCTCCCTCAAAGCAATGGCAATTGGGATTCAGTCATCTGCAATGGAAAGATTCCTGACTGAATTTTCTGGTTCAGTTATCTTGGGGTTAAAGGCATTAGTACATAGGCAAAGAATCCATATTCCCAAGTATCTTACAGGGAATGTTAAAACAGCCTTTATTCCATACCACATGTGGAAACATGGGAAAATAATTTTATTAAATGTTTAACTTGCAACTAACAAGGAAAGATTTTTTTAGGACTCAAATTAGGACTTAATTTGAAAATTAAGGAAGCAAATAGGTTGGCCCCATGAAAGATCTGTTAAATATCCAATAGTAAATTTAAAACATAGTAATTCTCAGAAATTATGAGAATCAAAACCTTTCAAACTTTACAAGTGGAATTAACATAGCTAAATTTTTTAAGTGACTCCCAAAAGTCCCCACTCTGTGTCTTTCCCTCCTTCCCCAAATAACTTCCAGACAAGTAGAAGTTTTCATGGCATCTTTGGTTCTAGTTTGGGAGTGGCTGGTATGAGGCAGAATAATCCAAGATATTTACCACCTGCTTTCCTTCCTGTCAATTTTTAAAAAATCTTTTAAGGCTGGTGAAATACATGTGTTAGAATTTTAAAAAACTGTTTTCCTATTACAGCTATTTATGGACTAGTAGCTTGCCCCTATATGTATCAGTGTTACAGCCAGGGGAACAACAGGAGTAGTAACGGAGGCTCAAAGAAGTTAGAACTCTGCTGAAGTAATATTCAGTAATTTTTCCATTAAAAGATCCTTGTGGTAAAATATTGACAGTAAAAATCCATCAAAGTTAATTTTTATTAAAACCAAAGCACCAGTCTGCCCCCAAAAATTAAAAATGAAGACTACTACCTCAGATGTCCCTCTCAATAAGTAAAACCTTCATGGGGAAAAATCTGTGATCTGATTGGCTAGCATTATTCTCACTCAGAAACATAATACCAGTATGTGAATTACAACAGTAAATTCACATTCAAGATGAATATGCAATAAACATTTATAAAAAGACATCAACTATTTACATAGGGCTATAAAATACTTTTAAAAATATATAAATGGTTATTTAAAAGGAGGAGCTCAATTTCAGTAAGAAATCAGATGGTTGAACGCGTGGTCACCATAATTTCTTTTTCTTTTCTTTTTTTTGTTTGAGACAGAGTTTCGCTTTTGTTGCCCAGGCTGGAGTGCAATGGTGTGATCTCGGCTTACGGCAACCTCCACCTCCTGGGTTCAAGTG